TCTGTTTAAAGATAGGTCCTATAAGTGGCCTTTAAATGGGAAATTGAGAAGTGGTTGGGATTGAAAGTCTTCTTTCGTGAAATTCACAGCAGCCCGCGGAAACTGTTCCCCTGTGTGATGGGTCTCTTAGAAACCTCTGACTGGACGTGGAATTATTGTGACTCGCAAATCCCAAAGAGCTAGACGGCTCATCAGCTCCGGAAGAAAGGGACCTAGAATTAAGCACGTTCCTATTTGCAAGCATTTCAAAGGACACCCAACCAATCGCCAGGGACAGTCCGTAGTGTGGCTTTGCATCTTCCCTTTTTCTATCCGATCCCGCAGACCCACTGGAAGTGTGAAATCGTGTGCGCTAGCGCCCGCTGCTCCCAGGGTTGGGGAGGATGGGAGGAGGAAAAGACAGGGCAAAATCCTGAAAATCCACTCGTGTGCCTCAGTCCTTGGAGACACAAAGGAGTTCGCGCGCCTCCCGGTGGCCACTCAGAGCTGGAGCGATAGGTGCAGATGGGACTTTGTGCATTGGGGCCCGAGCAAACCAGGGTAAGAAAGGAGACAGAAAAATTGGGAAGGCAAGGATGGAAAGAGGTAGGTAGAAAAGGCGAGGTGTGGTGGAAGAAAGGGAGACAGGGAAGTTGTCTCCACTCCAGTCCGGATGCTTTCTGGTGTCTCGAGTTGGAAGCTGGAGATACAGCCTTAAACAATGGCAATGCAACTGAGTCTTGTGGTGACCCCATCTGATAACGGTGAGGGAAAAGAATCTGTCTGGGATAGCCTGCAGGCAGTTTGTTCCTAGGTCAAAAACCTTTAGCTCGGACCCCAGAGTTCAGACCAGGCTTCTCGGAGGTGTGGTCAGTCAAGTGCAGCTCAAGGAAGGTGGAGGGGAATTGGAAATCATGCCCCATTGCCTCCAGTTCTTCCGACTCCCTCCCCAGATCTGTGCCTCTCTTAAGTACCTCCCCTAGGAGCCCAGACAGGTCATGGGGCAGTGTCTTTCCATTTTCTTGGATAGACTTGTTTCTAAGTGGGTTATGTTGTTTTAGGGGTATGGAGGGGAGGGAGGTTTGTCTTCCCATCTTAGACAAATGTATGCCGAGCCACAAGAAGCCAAAGGACTGATCCCTTCAGAGAAAGCAAAGCACCTTCTGCTTTCCAGTGTCCCCTGAGTATTATACCAAAAGGTACATGGCCTGTACCTTTTGGTATAGGCCAATGGATTTTTAAAACTAAAAATACCAGCTCTAGGTCCCTGATTGAAATATTTCTTTCTGCCTAATAGTTTAGTAGAAGGATGGAGCTTTGTTATTGTCTGGGGAAGACTTGGGAGAGAAATCAGCCTTTGTCTCATTTTTCCCCACTTTCCCCCTCCCCAAGTCCTCATTTTACATGCTGCAATAAGTATACAAGGAGGGTCTTGGGAGAAACTGTGTGAGCCTTTGGAAAGACTCCCTGGGAAACCAGGGAGCCTTTCAAGGCAATTCCTGGAAGTGATTATAGTTAGGAGAGAAGCAGATGACTACCCACAAACCTATTGAAGATTTGGACTCCTGTCAGAAAGGTAACAATCATCATCATCATCATCATCATCATCATCATCATCATCATCATCAAGCATTTATTAAGCTCAGGCACTGTTCTAGGAGCTAGAGGAAGAGACAAAAATAAACAGCCCCTGCCTTCAAAAAAGTGTACATTTGGGGGTGGGGAACAATGTGTACATATATGAGAAAAGTTTAAAATCTATCTGTCTATATCAATATCGATATCGATATATAGATATAGATATAGATATAGATATAGATATAGATATAGATATAGATATAGATATAGATATAGATATAGATATAGATATAGATATAGATATAGATATAGACATAGACATAGACATAGACATAGACATAGATATAGATATAGATATAGATATAGATATAGATATAGATATAGATATAGATATAGATATAGATATAGATATAGATATAGATATAGATATAGATATAGATATAGATATAGATATAGAGTAAATGAAAATTAACTAGAGGGAAGCTGATATTCCTAACTGGGGTGGGGAAGGGGATCAGGAAAGGGCTCTTATAGAAGGGGAAGACAACCTTGTCCTCCTAATCCTTTACAACTCTGGGTAGTATCCAAACTGATTCTGAAAGAAGCTAAGGATTCTGTAAGAGTTAGGCATCCTGAGGTCTGGAAGTGATAACGAGTGCATTCAAGGCATGGAGAGACAGCAGTGGCACAGAGTTGAGTGAAACGAGTCCTGTGTGAGGAACAGCAGGTACACTTACTGGATTACAACTTTGAAGGAAAGCAATATGCCACTAAGTCTAGAAAAGAAGGTTGGAGCCAGAATGTGAAGAGTTCAAAGGCCACAGGCCCTTCGTATTCCACACTAGACGCAACAGGGAGACACCAGAATGTTTTGAGCAGAGGCAGTCATACCTGTGTTTTATGAAGATTACTTAAAGAATCTTTGGTGTAGTGGATGGATTGAAGAAGAGAGAAACCAACTGAGGCTATTTGCAGTAGTCTAGGTGAGAGATGATGAGGATCTTCATCAAGATGGTGGCCATTTAAGTGGAGAGCCTACCTTATAGCTCTTCCGATTTAGAGAGTGCTTTTGTAAATATTATAGAATGATAATACCTCAATCCAGAATGGATGTTAGAGATTGACTACTCCAACTCGCTCACTTTTACAGATGAGAAAACTGAGACACAGAGAGGGTAAATAAGTTCCCCAAAGTAGATCAGGTAGTAAGTCACAAAGCCAAGTTCTCAGAACCAAATGCAGTGAGTTCGGCACAAAACCGTGCTATGCCTCTATGTATATAATTTTATCTTCACAAACAAAGAAACCATCAGATAGGCATTACTATGCCCTATTTTGCAGAGGAAGAGACTGAGAAACAGAAGTGACTTGCCCAGAGTCATAGTTCCAGCTATGAGTGGTATAACTGGGACTAGAGCCCAGAACCTCTGATACCTAGTTAAATACTCTCTTCACTAAAACAGGAACTTAAATTTTAGCTTCTCAGTTAAAAAAAAACTATGTTTTAAGTGACTTCAAGTCAATTAAACTTTTTTTTAATTAAGTACACATATGTTCAGGAGGCAGCCTCACATAGTAGTGTATAGAAAAGATAGCCTTATATACGAGCAGATCTGGGTTCAAGTCTGACATATATTAATTGTGGGACCATAGACAAATCAATTAACCTCTCTGTGACCCCAAACAACTCTATAAGGCTCTAAATTTCAGACCTGCTGGCAATCTTCATTGATGTGGAGAGTTTCCCCATCAGGAGATTCCCTACTGCAATGAAAGAAAGAAAAAACATCAGCAAAGCAATGGTTATTATACAAAGTTTTTGCCCTTATTTTCTACCAGTTAAGTGGGAAACCTGCATGGTCCACAGGGAGTTGTTCAATTAAACTGATCAAAAATTTTCGAGGACAGTGCCCTTTTAGGCTGACATTCGGTGTGTCACACCTGATCTCACTAGTGCTCCCAACTTACAAAGGCATCTCAGTTTTAAGAATAATGGGCATACATCTGATGCTCAGTGGGTCTCCATAAGGTTATCCAGTTAATGAGAAGAAAAAAACTCAAGGAGAAGAAAAATCACTTTTAAAGAGGTGTAAAATTGTGTTGTTGGAAGTAGAAGGGAGTGGCTAGATTATCCAGAAAGTGATTTCCCTTTTCAAACTTCAGTTGGTCTGTGGAGATTCTTCCTGGACCAGCAGAAATGTCTTCCCTCTTGTGAAGTAGAGCAACCTGAGGAGAACCTTGCCTGCAAAGTGTGAAAATGGGAGACTAATGATGGCAGAGCTGGAAGGATTTTGAGGGTTATATAGTGCGCTGCTCCTCTTTTACAGATGAGGGAAGACGTCACACATCATAAAGAGGCAATGTGGTATTCGAACACAGGCCCTCAAAATCTAGTATTCTTTGCCATTAAATTATGATGGTGATGACAGTGGGCATTCCATTCCCCCAGATAATCAGCCTTCTGAACTTGGTCTCAAAGGACCGGAGTTCAAATTCTGACTTTGCCACTTATTTCCTGTGTGACTGGGGCAAGCCATTTCATTTCTGTCAGTTTTCTTCTCTAAAATTTAGGGGTTGGACTAAATGATGTTTAAGATACCTTCTCGTACTCAATCTATGGCCGTATGTCCTAAGCAGGTCAATCACGGAGATCTTTCTTTTGCTCCCTCGGGGGGGGGGGGAAAGGGGAGGGGCAGGTTAACTCTTTGACCAGAGTTTGACAGCAGAGCTCTTTGCTTTGAGAGAACCATAGAACCATAGAAATAAGAGCTGCAGCATCCTCCTAAGTGGGGCTGGGTTGGGCTAGACTAACTGTGCAGAGGGACCCGAAGTCTGATCAAGGCTGGACAAAGCAGCACCTCTCCTAGCCTCCGTCGGGGGGTGGCGGAAGCTGCTCACATCCTTCAAAAACCAGTGCGCCATCGCCAGAAAAAATCCCTTCCTTGCCACCCAGGTTCGACCGGAGACACAGGCTTGCCCTTTGCTGGTGGGGAGGGGGAAGGGCAGAAACTGATTCAGCCTTGGTGACCCCAGCAGTGGCGGGGCCACTTGCCTCGTAAAAAGCTCCCGGGGAGGGCGGCGGGTTCCGCGCGCTCTGTCCGCCTCCTGGGAACATTGAGGTCCGCAGCGCGCGCTCTCCATAACCTAGCTCTTTGTTCGGGGGGCTTGCGCCCAAAGTGAGGTTGGTTTTTTGTTTTGGTTGTTTGTTTGAAACAATTACAGAACAAGCATTGGATAGTACTTTGTGTGATTGGGGCAAAGGGGTAGGGTGGAGTGGGGGAACGTTAAAAATTTCCAGCCAAGGGAAGAGGGGGTAAAGAAATTCCCTACCATCACCCTCCCCACCCCCAAGAAAAGCAGCCCGAGAAGTAGTGACCAATCCTCCTCGGATTACCATCGAAAGGCTCCTCCCTTCCTCCCCTCCCCACCTCGATTTGCATAAAAAAGCCAGGAAAGCTTGTTTTGCCCCTAGCACCCGATCCCGCTGCCGCCCCCAGTTTCGAGCCCCGAGTGGTTCCCCCAGCTGAATGAGGTCTAGGGAGGCCCCCAGAGCTCCCCTCACTGTCTCTTTCTCCGTGCCCCTTCCCACCCTCCTGCTCCTCCTCCCCCCTGCCACTGCTTAGTGTCTTGCCTCTGACCAGCGGCGCGGAGAGCTCCGGTCTAGGGGGCTGGGGGAAAGTGGGGTTGCTTAGGAGGTCGCGGTTGCTTTTTCCCCTCTTGCTAGATCCTTTTCTGAGGTCGAGTTGCCCAAGATGCCTCAGGGGCCCGGCTCTCTGCTCCTGCTCTTCCTCGCCTCTCACTGCTGCCTGGGCTTCGCCCGTGGGCTCTTCCTCTTCGGGCAGCCCGATTTCTCCTACAAAAGGAGCAATTGCAAACCCATCCCCGCCAACCTGCAGCTATGCCACGGCATCGAGTACCAGAACATGCGGCTGCCCAACCTCCTGGGCCACGAGACCATGAAGGAGGTGCTGGAACAGGCGGGCGCCTGGATCCCGCTCGTTATGAAGCAGTGCCACCCGGACACCAAGAAGTTCCTTTGCTCGCTCTTCGCCCCGGTCTGCCTCGATGACCTGGACGAGACCATTCAACCCTGCCATTCACTGTGCGTGCAGGTGAAAGACCGCTGCGCCCCGGTCATGTCCGCCTTCGGTTTTCCCTGGCCAGACATGCTGGAATGTGACCGCTTCCCTCTGGACAACGACCTCTGCATCCCTCTGGCCAGCAGCGACCACCTCTTGCTGGCCACTGAGGAAGGTAAGAGCCCCGCCCCCCGAAGTTGTCCCCAGTAGATGAGAAGGCGGCGCAATTCACGCCCCAAGTTCCCAAAACTTTTGCGCTTTCCCCACCTCTCCTTGGGTAAAGTCCACCAGAGAAGAGGGGTCAGGCTGCTTTCCTGGACCCGGGACAATGCCTCCCACAGACCCCAAATAACCTGATCGAATACCAGATCAGGAAAGGAGACTCTTGTTCTTCCGTCTCGCTTGGTAGAGGTGACCCTGTGTTTTTCCCTAGCCATGAAGCATAAAGTAAGCGGTCTGTGGGTGTCGTTCCCCCCCCCCCCGCGGATAGGAAGGAAGGAAGGAAGGAAGGAAGGAAGGAAGGAAGGAAGGAAGGAAGGAAGGAAGGAAGGAAGGAAGGAAGGAAAAGGAAAGGAAGGTCAGAGGCTTCCACAGGTGTTTACTGTCAGTGCAATATTGCCATTGTTTATAATTCCAGTCCCCTCCCGAAATCTGTAGAAGCAAAATTCAACTAGATTTTACCTTACCAGTCACTTTTTTGTCCGTTTCAAGTTTCTATCTTGGAAACAAAGTCAGAAATTACTCCCTGAAGAAAGCTCAAAAGAGAGCATGTTAGCCGTCCATTGCATCCAAGTTAAATTCCCTACAAAGGAGTAATTGGAAGAAGGAGATGGGGAAAATGCACGGTGTCTGGGTACAAGAAGAAATATGTGAAGAGGGCACAAAGGAGTCTCCAGGGAATAATCTTTCTACCACTATCTGCTTTTATCTGAGGACTGGTTTTAATTAACTGGGGAAAATCATGCAAAAGAGAGTTTCCCAAGTTTTTAAAAACGGGGGGAAAGTTCCTGTACAGAAACCATCAAAGCAATGAAAACCTCATGGGCTCTTGATATTTTTCCCAAAAGGAAAAAATATACAATGTGCCTGAACTGATTTGGGTTCCTCATGGAATGGCAAGGGGACTCCCTAATCCCTTTCAGGGCATTCAAAAAGATCTCCTTTTCAATCTCTAATTGCTTTCTACAGCCATCATTAGTTAAAGAAAATGCAAAGTTGCTTAGCAGTGTTTCCTGGCATGCATTGGGAGTTTGCAATCATCTTATTGGTTAGATTTCTAATTTACTGCAAATGTTTGGCATTTTTCAAGCATTTGTCCAACATATACCATAGACCAACCAATGCAGGTTAGTAACATTTTATATACATTCCTAGAGCTTTAATGGAAATGTTGTGGTTCCTTCTGTTGCTTTTTGGTTCAGATTACTTACACCCTTTCCCTCTGTGTTCTAGACTGTCCATTGCTCCACAAAGGACTGTTTTGCCTTCCAAAAATGAAGTTTACATGCTCAGATATTTACTTTTTTGCCATTTATGTAGCTAACATAAGAAATGATCGTAAGTGGTATCTGCCTCCTAGGACCCACAAACAGCTTCCTAAAGAAAGCTCAAGTATGCATTAATGACAATCATCCAGTTCAACTTGGACTTTAGAGACACTGTGAATAAATACAATTTAAAATGGTAGTGGCTGGAGGAGAAATTATTGCCTTTGTTTAAAGAAAAAACCAGTAGCTGAGTTGCCCCAAGTGCTTTTCCTAGGACAAAACATTCCAAATCCTCTCCTAAAACAGATAAGGCAATGTGTATGATCATGACACCCCCCAAAAAGATTTCAGTCTTGGAGACCAGAGATTGGCTACACAGCCAACTTGTTTACCTTTAGATGTAGTATCTAATTAGTAGCTTTTCAAGTTCCAGTGAATAGGAGGGGGTAAAAAAAGAAAGAACTCTATTCCAAGGTTCTCTTAGATATGAAATAAGTCCAGGGTAAAACAAGTACCAGGTTGGCTACATTTGCAAGGTAATGAAAAATCAGTTTCAGTATGCTAATGTAATTAAGTACAATCCTCCCACAAAGTCCCAGGTATTCATCAATCAAGTATAGTCTCCATAATGGAAATAGCACTTCCATACAGGAATTGTTCAAATGTTAACCCTATATTTCAGTCTTCAAAATATCTTGGAATTTTTCACTTGAAACCCAGGGCTCTGATGATCTAGGAGGAAAAATCTAGCTCTACTGGCATCTTTCCTCCTCTCCCTTCATTGAAGGGAAAGAGATGATTGAGAAGGGAGCTTTTGGCAAATTTGTGGTCAGGAAATGGAGCCCAAAGATTCATTTTTCATTTGAAAAACATTCATGTTTCATTGTTGCTTACTCTGAGCTGTCTAGGAAAAAACTCTGGTTCCTTGGGACGTGGATTTTCAAGACAAGGGTCTTCAAAGAAATAGGGTTATGTCAAGGGATTGTCTCAGGGACTTTTCATTCAAAAAGAGCCAAAATCTGCTCAGGTCTGTGTTGTGGTTATGAGTGACTGTATACAGACTCCCAAATCTTACCCTCTAGAGACACAACTTTTACTTCCCATTGATTATTGGAACAACCTATTACTGCCTCCAGAATGTAATGGACCAAGAAGGGGGCTTTTAGTCCCTTAGGAACAAATGGCTCCCCTCCCCTTATAAAAAGATAATATTTACCCAGTGAGCAGTTGAAACCTTAAAGGAAGGTGTGAGCTGAGATACTGAGGGAAGCATACAAACCATTGGCTGGAGAAGTGACCATTCCTTTTAAAGTTACCTAATGCCACCTGCTGTTCCCTAATAACTAAACCTACTAAAACCTCATTTTTCCCATTCCTAGCTCCAAAGGTATGTGAAGCCTGCAAAAACAGAAATGATGATGACAACGACATTATGGAGACCCTTTGCAAAAATGACTTTGGTAAGTGGAAACAGGAGCTCCCACCCATGATTTCATACTTTGAAAGTTTTATCAAAGGATAAAACTTTAGTCTTGATGTTACAACAAGTAGCTATGTAAAATTGATTTTCACCAATCATTTGACGATTACTCCTAATTCCTTTTCTCATCACTTAAAGAATATTATATTCGGTTTTATTTATGTAGATGCAATACATTTTCCATGAAAGTATAGTCAGGTCTTTATTACCTCTTTGTAAATTATCCATTTTGCTTTTTGGTTTTAATCACACATTAATTCACTAGTATTTTCTTGTTCCCAAGAACTTGCCAGGGCCACATTCTCCTCTGGTTACTTGATGCCTGTCAAGGTACTGCAAACTGAAACCATTATTAACCCAAGTAAAATTTTATCACGTAGTGGATTGGAAAGTGATTTGGAGTCAGAAGAACTGGGTTTAAACCAAAGCTCTGCCACTTATTACTACCTTTGTAACTTTAGGCAAATTTCTTCAGCTCTCCCAACCTCACTTTCCTCATCTATAAAAGGAGGGGTGGGGGACTAGATGATTGCTAAGGTCCCTTCCAGCTCTAAAATACTATGATCCTAAGTAAATCTGCAACCAAAAAAGAATCATCATTCATTCTAAAGCCAAGTACATTATTTTGGATTGGGGGGGTCTCTGGGGGGCAGGGAATCATCTTCTCCTTTTCTCCCCTTTTTACTCTACCTCTTGCCATAGTGAAAGAATTAAGAATTGTCTGTATGGTAGATCTGTTTTTAAAATAATTAAATTCTGTGTTTAATTATCCAAATGAGTTATATGACAAGGGCCATTATAACCTCTTGTAGATAAATGTAATAAACACACCTTAAAAATCCATACAATTGAGTTATGAGAAACCCTCTTATTTAGATTGTATTAATGTAGTCTGAAGCATTAAATGGTTTTTTAAATAGAAAGTTAAAATATTCACATTAGGAACATGCAATAGAGGTACTACTTTATCAAGGTCTTAGGAAACAACCAATTGTATGATCCCTATTGTACTTTGCTTGGTGTTACTACAAGAGAAAGGGATTTGGAGAGTTTCTCCCAAATTCACGTAGGATCATAAGATCTAGAGCTAGAGCTTTCCTCTTTTATAAATGAGGAAAGTGAGGCCCAAGAATATTCAATGACATGCTCCAGCTCACACCAGTAGTCTATAGTCTCTCATGAAGCCACTCATGAAGGGGAGAAAGTATGACAAGAAGACATGGTATAGTAGATATTTGATAATTACTTAAGGATGGATGGATGGACCTCTGAATGGATTGAAAACTGGACTTTGCTTCCTATGAGCTCAGTGTCCTATTGTTCCATTCTGAGGCCAATTAACCAATCCAGATTCAAATCATCCAAGGTGTCCCCAACATAATTTTTAAAAAGTTTATAAAGCACCAATGTGTGCATAGTTTTGTATTATCTTGGAAATAAAACAACTTAAACAGAAACGGCCCCTGCTCTTTACAGCCTAAACTCTCCCCTATTCCCATCCCTAATGTTTCCTGAAATAAATAGACCATCTTAGACACATAAAGGATTTTACTTATATATTATACTACTTATAACCCTGCTACCTAAGAAGGTATCCTATACTGATTGAAGAAAACCATGCTTCCCAACTCTTCCCACATCTGTCCTCATTTCCCAGTTGGGAGGAATGATGGCCAACTCTCCCAGCAATCCGGTTGCCCATCCAGGAAACTTCAGGCAAAGGGTCTCTAAAAATATGAGCTTTCAAGCCAAGTGTTATTTCTAAAGTCTCATGCTGAGTGAAATCTTCTCCAAGACTAAGTCCCTACCTTAAAGTCCCTAGGAAGAAGCACAGAAATTCAACTGGCATCACCACCATCACCTTTAACCTCAGTGGCACCTGCTTAGGGAAAAGGCAGATGACTAACTATTTCACTTGCTAAAAGGTCAATCACTCCCCAGCTTTGGGGTTGGAAAGGAATCCCAGCTGACAAGGATGGGTAACAAGAGGAAGAGGCAGAGATGTCTTACCCAAATTATGTTCCTGCTATCGCTAAGCCTGAATCTGAAGTGTTACAGCATGTTAGTATATCAGACAGCTAATTTTATATCATTAAGATACAATTATAGTCCTGTCTCCCTTGTTTTCAGGTGCTTAAAAACATCTTAACAATTAAGCTCTCCAAAAACAGAATGGGGTGCCTCTCCATCACTTTAAACATTCAACTAGAGCCTGCATCACGTCTTTTGGGGCAGTTTTAGAAAATACTACTGTTTGAATATTAGATGATGTCTGAGGGTCCTTTTAACTCTAAAATACTTGTGATTTGGTGAAAATAATAAATTGTCAGCCATCCAAATTCCTAAACAGTCATGATTAATACTGAAAAATGAATGATCCAAAAATCACTGGAAGTTCATTAAAATGCTATCTCAGGTTACATGCCTAGGTACCTCATTGTAAGGGATTAGGGTACCATAATGAGTTTCTTTCAGGAACTGATCTCCCTTTGAATAACATCCAAAACATACTTTTAGTATGGAATTCCACCCTATAGCAGGTTGGCTTCTATAGATGGTCTCCAGTATATTTCACTTCAGATTGCAGTCACATACACTTCTATATATACTCACCCCTTTTTTGTTCCAGAACCATAGGATAGAGTAAAAAGGGAGGATCTTTCAAGTTACTATGGATTAGTCATAAAGCTGACTGAGAGTTAACTATGTAATAAATGTAAAATAGGCCCTTCCTGGTCATGAGTGAGTCAGTGACCTAGAGAAGAGGTTTTTCCCCCTCAACTGGTATTACAAGGGAAATTTAAAAATAAAGAGAGAAAATATAAGATGTCTATTCTTTCCCTTTACATCCACAAAGATACTAATAATATAGAGTGTGGAAGAAGAAAAAAATGCTAATTATGCCTAATAACCAGTATATTTGTCATAATCCTGGATAAATTCTGACTTCAAGTCAAAATACTTTTATTCAGTGCTTTGCTTCGCCAATTAATCTTGTGTGAACTCAGGCAAATCACGTGAACACCTTGAGCTGAAATTATCCTCATCTGCAAAATGGAAATCATAACACCTGCCCAGTCAAACTTACAGGATTGTCGGGAGTGTCAAATGACATAATTTACTTAAAAATATTACATGAATGCAAGAGATGATGCTAGTACAGCATGACAGGCAAATAATTTTCCATGCCCACCAACCTACAATGGGAACGTAGGTCTGTTTGCTCTTTTCACAGTAGGGAGCATGTGAGTTAAAGCTACACAGAGCTTTTTTGCCCATTTTGTTCTGCATTTTGAGTGGTTCTTTGTACTGATAAATAGCTTTTCAATCATTTCGCTCCCCCACGGGCATCTTTCTGATGTCACCCATTCAAGTAGATGAGAAGGTGGACCTTGCAGCAACAATCAGAATGTTCCTTCCCTCCCATCTGAGCAGGGGAGATTTTCTTCTAGCTATACTTTATAGCACAAATTTGAGGGAAGAACAATAAAGGGCCTGAGAGGAGAGAGGAGGGAGAGGAAATGGCAAATTTGCTTCATGTTAATTTACCCTAGAAAGCATCAGCTCCTTCTCCAATATAGTTCTAAGAAATAAATATATTTAATGTCCTGCACTTCAAAACCAGAGGTCGATTGAGACTTTCATTCCTATATATTTCTTCCCCTCACCTCCAGTCTTGGATATGTACAACAGGGAATAACCCTGCCTCCCATCCTACATCCAGACTGGAAACTTTCAGTGGGAAAAATAAGATCCTTTGTTATTTAGAATTCCCTAGATTGTTCTCAATTCCAAAGTCAATGAGTTCCTAGGGAAATCAGGGCAAAGTTTAATATCTAAGAGGTGAGAGGTGTAGAAACAATACTTTCCAATGCTGATTCTTTTTTTCTTCCTGATGCCTGAATTAGTTCAAACTTTCCACATCTTCCCTCTATTACCAGCCCCAAAGGAGAAAACAGGGAGACCCAAGAGACAGCAGGAAGAGTTGGCCAATGCTATTTCCATTCCCTTTAAAAAGACACAATAGGATATCTCCACTATGTTTAGATTGCTTGGCTTTTTCAATGACTTAAGTCTCATAAGTGCTAAAGACTCCTTCTTGTAGTCCGAGTGTAGGCAAAACCCCAGGCAGAAGTTAGATGGGCCCCAGTGTTGCTCAGTTGAACGCTTGCCATTTCTCAGTGACAGGGAGAAGCCATGAGATCATAGAATGATGGGTTTAGAGCTAGAAGGGATCTTAGAGGTCATCTAGTCTGAGCCTCTCATTTTACAGATGAGGAAACTGAGGCTGAGAAATAAGTAAAATGTAGGTAGGAAATGACAGAACCATGATTGGAGTTCTTTGCCTCCAAATCTAGTACCCTATCCATTACAACACACTTCCCCCCATATTCAGAGTTTATACAAATTCTTTAAAAGTTTAAAAAAATCCTGCAGTAATTAAATGAAAGGGGAAAAAATCCTTCATTTCATGTCCATTTTAAGCCTTATACTTAGATACTCCAAAGAATGAAATTTCTGGCTGTCCAAGGATCTTCCTATACCCTGACACCAGATTCACCTCCATCAGTACTAAGATTGGTGACAATAATTATATAATATTGGTAACAATAGTTAATGCTGAGAGCAAAATTAAGAAATTTAATTCTTTCTGGAGAGGAAATGTAGTATCATGGAATGAGCTCTGGACTGGATGTCGGAAAACCCAGAGTCCAATCCCAGCTCTACTATTAACTAGTGCCATGACTTCACCCATCTGGTCCTCAGTTTCCACATCTGTAAAGAACAAAATAGCTGAGCCAGGCTAGAGTGTCTCTAAGACCCTTTTCAGCTCTACCATTCCTTTCCCCACTTTCATGGAGTCTTGAACTGTAATTACAGCAGATGCATTTGAAGTTGGGGGGTTTTTTGGTCCCTAGGAATCCTGTTCATGACTATAAAATGTGTCTTTTATAGCAAACCACTTACTTTTCGTCTTAACAGTCTAATGAGTTTACTTATCCATTTTTGGAAATGGTACATATATGATCTGTAAGTGCCTTGGCTAAGCCAGTGATAGCATATGACGATGAGGTATTTGGAGAAACCCTTTTACAGTTAAACATGTTGTACTCTTAAAAAGAGCCTTGCATGGGTTTTTCCCTCCTCCTAGTTACTTTACCAAATGAAATGCAGCTGTGAGATCAATTCCCCTTCCCTGTAATCTGTCCTTTAGAAAACAATGATTGTGTAATACAATTTCCTTACAGGTTTGTCCAAAAACCTCTCCAACATAATAAATTGAGTTTAAAGTTTACAGCCACAGTAAGGATCACATTTCACCTAAAAGTCAGACGTTTCTTTTCATACTGAAGTTTCCAATAGGGGAAGTCAATTTGGGGCATGTACCACATACAATCTACATACAAACATGCACTCTAGGGGCTTTCTTTTGGAAGTGCTAGGAAACTAGGAGAGAAGTTAATTGAGTCCCAGAAAAAAAGAAAAAATAAAGGGAAGGGAAGGGGGTGGAGAGGAAGGGATGGTTGATTTGAAACAAAATGCCTGGCAAGTCCTTGGAGTCTATAGAAATGAAGCCACCTGCTGCCTGCCTCCCATCCTGCTGTCCTCTGACAGTTTCATTAGCTTCCATGGAAGCCTGCAGTCCCTCCCTCCCGTGGGTCATGTTGCTGTGCCCTAATGGAAGGAGGAGAGGATCTCTCTTTCTCTCACACACTCCATCTTACTCATCTGCCACTCTTTTGCTCTTAGCCCTGAAGATAAAAGTGAAAGAGATAACTTACATCAATCGAGACACCAAGATCATCCTGGAAACGAAAAGCAAAACTATTTACAAGCTGAACGGAGTGTCCGAACGGGATCTGAAGAAATCCGTGTTGTGGCTCAAAGACAGCCTGCAGTGTACCTGTGAGGAGATGAATGACATCAATGCTCCCTACCTGGTCATGGGACAGAAGCAGGGTGGGGAGCTGGTGATCACCTCCGTGAAGCGGTGGCAGAAAGGGCAGCGAGAGTTCAAGCGAATCTCCCGCAGTATCCGCAAGCTCCAATGTTAATTTCTTCCTGTCTGCCTGGGTTCTCTGCCTGGCCCATCCTGGCGGTTCTGCTCCCCGGCCAAGCTGAGCATGTCCGCCCGGGACTCCTTCCTCTCACTTAACCAGCCTCCATGCCCAGCCCTACACTTCCCACTGCCTTTTGCACCTTCTTATCCCAGAATTTCTTGAGTTTTGAAATTCCTAGGAAGCCTGGGGCATAGAGAGCTATTTTTCACTTAAAAGAAAAAGAAAGATAGAAAAAGAAAACACCCAAATCTTATGTGTACATATTAAAATTGTAATAAAAAATCATGGATAGTTTTATGAAATATTAAAATAGCTTGCTTCAGGCTAGTTATTGGGTAGGGGAAAATGTGGATCAGGCATGATGGTGCACGCCTTGTAATCTCTGCTACCAGGGAGGTTGAGGCTGGTGGATCACTTGAGCTCAGGAGTTCTGAGATAGAGTAGGACTGAAAACCCTGTCCAGTGTCCCAGAGTAAGTCCAGTGGCACGCCACCAACCTGCCTGAGGAAGAGTGAAGCAGCCTGGGCTGGAGATACAACAGGTCAGAGCTTTTGTGTCTGTCAGTAATGGGATCAGGCCGGTGAGCGTTTGCTGCGTTTTCGACCTGGGCAGGATAGGAAAACCCAGTGTCCATTAAAAAAGAACATGACTCACACCTAATTTTTTTTTCCTTCTTTATTTGGAACATCTTGTTTTTATTTGTCACTTACAATGCAATAACATGCCTAATGCTTCACATTCTATATAACCAGTCTCTATTGTGTGTAACAGAATAGGTTGAGATAGAGCTGGCTGTTATCTCAACCCCTTACTCTCCTTCGCTCTGGCCTGGCACTTGGGGGTCTGAGCTTTTCAACATTCAGCTGTTATTATTCCATCATAGTTGGGAAATTACGGCTCTTGTATGTGGCATTCCATTTCCAGGTACAGGACTTGGATTGATGCAAAGCACATTAACCTATGTTCCTGGCATGTTTCCTTCCAATAAAATGCAAAAACAGATTACCAATATTATAACTGATCTGAATACAATGTTAAGCTTTTTAAAAAATAATTTTACTTAATTTTACAATTAAACCATTTGTAGCCTGCCTGTAATATACGTAGTGATTTACCTAAAAGAGTTGTAAAATATTGCTTTAACCAACACTGTAAATATTTCAGATAAACACTATATTCTTGTATATAAACTTTATGCCATGTTTTACCCATTGATTGTCTTCTTGTTTGTCCTAAAATGTCTTTTAATAAGAGGGACTGGGGAAGGAAGCAGTACAGAGCTTGACTATCCAACCTTTTAGTCATTTAAAACATCTGTGTCTACCTTGTTTTCTCACTGTCAACATGTCACATACTTGGAACATTTTAGGGTGGGATCATCCATATGGTCCTTGCTGCAGCAAATGTAGGACCTACAGGTGCCTTAATGCAATCCATAGATTCATAGATTTAGAGTAACTTTAACCAACTTGGGATCTACAACTTTTTTATATTTTAATTAACTGTGTTTCAATAAAATTGATTTCCTTTGCAATCCTATGCATTTCCTTTTATGCTTTTAAAAATATTATTCTGAGAAGGGTTCTATAGTCTTCACCAATGTGTCCATGATAGCAAAAAAAAAAAAGGTTAAGAACCCATGATTTAGAGTTAAAATGGACCTCAGGAGTAATCTATCCATTCCCCTCAGTATACAGATGAGATAACTGAAGTCCCAAAAGACTATGCGACTTACTTGCTCTGTTCAGCTGCCTAACTGATATTTCTAAAGCAAAGATCTAACCATGTCACCACTACCACTACCACACTGCCCTCAGTAAATACCACTGGTTCCCTATTACCTCCAATATCAAAAAGAAAGTCCTTTGTATGATGTTTAAAGATCTTCACAACCTCCCCTCTCCCTACCTTTCCAGACTTCCTACATTCTACTCCCCTTCAGGCACTCTATGGTTCTGTCAAAGAGCCCCATTTGTAGTACCTTGAACACAAAACTCCAACTCCCTCATCTGTGTCTTCACCATGCCTATGCCTGGAATACCATCCCTCCCATCCTCCAACTTTAAGATCCATTTCAAATATTGTTATTGTTTGTCCTTCATTCTTGAGGAACAATGACATCATGGGGTGATATTTTGACTCATGCATGAATTAGATGTAAGTGAGGCAGAGTTGCACAAAATAGTCAGCTTCACCCTCTCTTCCAGAGTCATTAAAGTCCAGTGGAATGACAAAAGTCAAGATAACTGGTGATGACCCAGGATGCAGTGGATGACCTTGACATCTTTGATGACTGACCAAGCTCTAAGCACTCCACAGCACTTCCTTCAGTCCTAATTTTACTTAATTTTATAATTAAACCATCTGTAGCCTGCCCATAATACACATAGTGATTTACCTAAAACAGTTGTAAAATACTGCTTTAACCAACACTGTAAATATTTCAGATAAACACTATATTCTTTATGCAACATTATGAATTTTAGTTCCTTAAATAATTTACATCACAGCTTTAGAGCTCAAAGGGACCTTCAAGGTCATTAAATCCAACCCTTTCATTTAAAGATTTAAAAACTGAGACTCAAAGATTTTAAGTGGCTTGCCCCAAACTAGTAAGGGGCAGAAGTCAAAGATTCAAATGTAGGTCATTTTACTCCAAAGCCCTTTCCACTGTACCGCACTGTCTCCTGGTTATCTGTGTTTGTGTCATTTCCCTACTAGACTCTAAGCTCTATGAGAGGCTATGTCCAAAATTTCTCACCCTTCCAGAGTCTAACTAGCAGCTTAATACGTGGGGATTGAATTGAATTGAAATGTTCACATAGATAAACTCAAAAGAAAATTTCAATGTTATAAAGTCACTTCCAAAGGACATGGCACCTTTAAGGAATTCCCATAAGATCTTCAGGTCAGTTGTTATTGGTTTTGGGTTTTTTTTTTAAAAAAACTAGTAAAGACCAACCCAATCCTTCAATATCCAGTTAATTTTTCTAGGCCTTTTGATACTAAGTTTGGAAGCCAAGCCCCCACCCCACTAACAATGCCAATGAAAATTTTCCTCTTCCATAGACACAGCAAGACTTTGTTTACTGTAAAAATTAAGCATGCATAAGTAATTTTATACTGAGATATTAAATTTAAAGAACAGTCCTAATTGAACAACATGCCCTGCACAAAATTTCCATTTATAACTATTGAGTTGCTTGGAATCATTTAAATCCCTCCCAATGAAGAGGTGAAACAAGCAACAAACAACGAAGAAGTCAGTATTCCATTTCTCATGTATTCCAAAATACTGCAAGTATGTGTTTTATTACAAAAACGAACACCATGTGTGCCCTATTCTAAGCCATTATGTGACATGCTAGGATTGTTGCATTAATAGAGTAAACTGGCAAGGCAGCTGTATCTCCAATACTCATTTGTTGTGCATTTTTTTTCATTTGAGTGCTATGTGGCTAAAGGCAGATTTTCCCACTGCTTTGATAAAGGTTTATGCTGGACTTCCACAGACCTGCATTCCACTCAGAACTCATTCTTTCAATTATCAGTAACCCAGCTTTACCATCTCTGTAAGGTAGATACGCACATACCTGTTCCTGCCTGTGACTATGGGTGTTGTCACACACACAATTCAATGTCCCTAAGATTATACTTATTCAGGACTTAATTGAATTGTGATAACTGCAAATTCTATCTTTAAAAAAGACAAAAAGGGGTGGCCTCTATGATTGAGATCACAAAGTCATGGACTTTCGAGTTAGAAGGGACCTTCTTGTTTGTCCTTCATTTTCAAAGAGGACAAACGATATCACAGGGTAGTGTCTTGACTTACAGGAGAATTGGACTTCAGTGAGGCAAAGTTAGTTGTGCAAAGTTGTCAGCCTCACTCTCTCTTCCTGAGTCATCAAAGACCAGTGGCAGAACAAAAGTCAAGATGACTGGCAATAGCTCAGGATGCAATGGATGCCCTCGGCACCTTTGATATCTTGCCAAGCTCTAAGCACACCACAGTGCCTGCTTCAGCCACCTTCATGGCCCAGTAGAACAAATTGTTCTTATCTGCCTGTTCTGCTGGGAGAAGTCTTCACATGCTTGGGGTAGACATCCCACTAACTAACCATAGAATTTGAGACCTATCAGTTACCTTAATTTGGTTTAACCTATTTGCCGAGATAATCTACTGGGATGTGGCCGCTATGCATGTTACAGCTTCTTGGAGCCACAGGTGAGGATTGGGTGAATCAAGTGAATACCAAAGATGAATGAGCAGCCCTGAAAAGGGCTTGACAAGCCCTCACACCAGAGGTGCTAGTCCTCCTGAACGCCCCATACACCTCAGAGAGTATCTAGTCTAACCCCCTCACTACATATGAAGAAACTGACCTGGAGAGGTAAAGTGATTTGTCCAAAGTGTCATAGGTAGAACGTAACAGAGCCAGAACCAAAACCCAGATAGATCTCTAGAATATCACAATAATACTATTGCAATACTCCATATCCAATATACACATTTTCTGATGTCTCTCTCCAGAATGTGAAGGCTATATCTTCTGAAGTCACTGTGTGACTTGATCTGATGCATCCTCCTAGGAACTGATAACTTTGAGTCAGGCCAGGATTCATTTGAAATCCTGCAATCTATAGATAAAAAGGACTGCTTTGAGAACAGTGAGAACTGCCAGACTAGAGAGGCAATAGAGTCACTCTCTTCTGCCTTGGTCAGAGCAGATCTGGAATATTATTCTCAATTCTGGGCACCACAATTTAGAAAATGTATTAACAGGCTGAAAGGTGTCCAGAGGAGAGCAATTAAGATGAATAGGGGTGGGGGCCCTGAATCCATACCATATGAGATTGGATTGAAATAGTTGAGGATGTTTAGCCTGAGGAACGAAAGACTTAGAGGGGGATGTGATAGCTATCTCTAAAGATCTAAAGGGCTATAATTGTAATAATAATAACAATAATAATTGCTAGCATTTATATAGCATTGTAGAGTTTGCAAAACACTTTATAAATGTATTATATACAATATATAACTGCCCAAATCTAACCTATGATTTCCAAGCCAGGCTGGGGTTTTTTCCAGCAGCATCCTCTGTGTACCTATGGGATCTCCTCGTGTCTCCAAGAACCAACTTTAAGTCACCAGAAATCTCAAAATGGGACATATTTGTGATATTTGTTGATTCAGGAACAGCAGTCCCAAATTAGGAATGTCATACCTTGTTCAAGATGTCTGAACACCTTCATGTAAAACTGAAGCCACTGCTAAGTGAGGGAATGAGGAAAGGAGAAGAAAGACATGGGAAGAGAAGGGCCTTACTAAGAATTTAGATTTGATTTCTCCTCCTGCAGAGAAAATCCTTGCTCTCAATAGGTGAAAATAGCTAAACTGAAGCTTGAGGCTAGAAACTCCAATTAATTCTAAAGGAGAATTTTTCTTTTCTAATATCAGTTGTTCAACAGGACTAAAAGCTATGAACTACAGAGATGCTTACTTTCAAAAACCTGGCTTGCAAATTCTCTGAAGGCAAGAATGGTGCCTTTCCCATTTTTTGTGTGACAAAGCTTGACATAATGCTGGGTGCTCTGTCCATGTTATTGATGGACTCCCTGCTTCTAGTCTGTCATCTCCACTATTTCAAATTAACTAGAAATCTGAGAACTCAAAAACTGAGCTCCAGTTAACATTATTCAAATGAACCGGCTGTTATATGAACCTTAAACCACATGTCAGGATCTGCATGTTTGGCCACAGGGCTACATGAGGGCCAGGAAACATTAATACAGGAAGTCCCCAACTTACAAAAGGGCCATGTTCCAAAATTTCATTTGTAAGTTGGTTGTTTAGAGAACAGAACACAATTTTCCATGGAAACAATGTTTTAAATTATGGTTAGGTTCCCAGGCTAGCCCACATAAAAACTCACTTAACCCACAATTTACCTGAAACACGCAACAACTGCAAAGAAAACTGCAGGAAAAAAATAACTGTTAAAATATTCTAGTCATCAGACATTTATGAAGCATCCATTATGTGCAAAGCCCTGTACTGGGGATACAAAGATACAGATCAGCAAGACCTCTGTCCTCAAGAAGCTTAGAGTCTACTAAGGGGAATATCACACGTCCCCAGAACTTATACGCTCATATAAGCACTTATACATATGTGTGTGTGTGTGCATTACAAGGTAGATGGTGATAGGACA